ATGGAATTCTAACCTAACATTGCACGCCACTCACTCATCATTAACATGGAATACTAACCTAACATTGCACGCCACTCACTCATCATTAACATGGAATACTAAACTAACATTGCACGCCACTCACTCATCATAAACATGGAATTCTAACCTAACATTGCACGCCACTCACTCATCATTAACATGGAATACTAAACTAACATTGCACGCCACTCACTCATCATTAACATGGAATACTAAACTAAGTTTTTCGTCTTTTTTCCCCACACGTTTCGTCCTGGCTTGCAAGTATGTTACTGAATGATTATCCGGCCTGCGATCGTCATTTTTTTCGTTATCCGGCCCGCCGTGAAAAAAGTTTGGATACCCCTGGTCTAGACATATCCAATATTCTCATCTTTTCTGTGAAAGTGCCCAGGTTTGATCTTCGGGCATCTTTAATTTTTTTTTTTTTTTTGCAGCAGCATTTTGTTTTTGAGCCAGTATAATGTATCTAATCACTGCTTGGTGATGAGCTAATCACTGCTTGGTGATGAGCTAATCACTGCTTGGTGATGAGCTAATCACTGCTTGGTGATGAGCTAATCACTGCTTGATGATGAGCTAATCACTGCTTGGTGATGAGCTAATCACTGCTTGGTGATGAGCTAATCACTGCTTGGTGATGAGCTAATCACTGCTTGGTGATGAGCTAATCACTGCTTGGTGATGAGCTAATCACTGCTTGGTGATGAGCTAATCACTGCTTAGTGATGAGCTAATCACTGCTTGATGATGAGCTAATCACTGCTTGGTGATGAGCTAATCACTGCTTGATGATAAGCTAATCACTGCTTGGTGATGAGCTAATCACTGCTTGATGATAAGCTAATCACTGCTTGGTGATGAGCTAATCACTGCTTGATGATAAGCTAATCACTGCTTGGTGATAAACTAAACACCGCTTGCTGGTAAGCTAATAACCGCTTGATGATAAGCTAATGACTGTTCGATTTGGGCAACAAGTATTTGTTACATGGTTGAGCTCACAACGAACACTGCAGTTTTATTCCTTGTAGTGCTCCAATGCGATGTCACCCCTGTACGGAGCTCTGTTATAGAGGGCTGTTAACTATCTTCTCAAAGATATTGGGGTATAAAACTTTTCACGTCATGCCATTTTTAAAGACGACGCTGTGGAGTTTGGAGTGGGGAGAAGCATAAGACTCCTTGAATTTATTTTATTTTTTTTTAAATTTTGAATTAAGTTGAGAACCGCTTTTTTTTTTTAATTAAACACCGTACGCCTACTTCTTTTCTAGATCTTTAAAATACTTTAAATGAACATGTACTTTAATATCACGTCGACTTGATATGTAAAGACATTCTAAACCTGACCAAAAAGAACTCTCCCACGTGAAAATCCGTGAAAAGATCGGTCGGGTGGGTTGGTGCTGTCTTTCAGTGACGCGATCTCCTCCTATCGCTGCCGGAGAGAAAGTTATTAATCTAAAGAATTTAGCTCCATTAACGCTAAAAGCTGATCTGATACTAAAAGCAGGCAGATCAAACAGGTGATCAGATCTGCTTATCGTGGGTGTGTGTGCCCATGACGACATCCAGTCCAAATTATATTATACCGGTAATTCCCCACCCCCTCCCCCCCAACCCCATGCATACAAACAGCGAGGCGATACCTTTCGTCGTTGTCAGGTGGGAAACTAATAAGACTCCCAATCTTAAAGAGTTCCGACACCGCACAACGTAGCTTTCATTTCACGGTTTTTTTTTTTTTGTTGTTTTGTTTTTTTTTTTGTTTTTTTTTTGTCTGTTTTTTTTTTTTTGTTGTTTTGTTTTTTTTTGTGTGTTTTTGACAGCTCTGTTTGAACATTTTTAAGAGCTTAATTTTATTTCCTTCAAACTATATCACCGTATTTATTTATTTTATTTTTTTTTTCTAAATAAGATAATTCCATGACACATATCACTTTGGATTGTGTCAGAAATTGTTTTCATTAGTGGGGGATGTTTCTGTTGAGTTGAAATCAACAAGAGGGGGGGTGGGTGGGGGTGGATGGGGGTGGGTGGGTGGGTGGGTGGGGGTGTGAAATAAAACGAGATGAAAATGAAACCATGACTGTTCCAATGGGTATCGTAAAAGTTGCACATAGAAGCAACGATACTTTAAGTATCCGATACTTTAAGTATCCACATTAAAGCCCTAAACAAATGCTTGAAATTTACACTCCAGTGAATCTAACATGAGAGGTGACGTCATTGAGATATAGTCGTAGGCCCCTTTTTCAGGAGAGCTAAACAACAGATTTACATTAGAAGCCTCGCTGACTTTATGGACGTGGCTGTTAATGTAGGTGACCAAACGTCCCGTAAAAACAGGAGTGTCCGTTTTCTCACGATCGTACCCGGTGTCCCGAAAAAGTCTCTTCAATGTCCCGTTTCTAAACCCAAACACATGTTCAAATCACTAAAAACTTCCTAATTCATAATATGACTTCAAGTAATATTTTGGCTAGCTGTGTAGCAAGTGCCAGTAGTGATGTGGGCTCGCGTGATGGCTGCACTGTTCCCCCCTCCACCACTCTGCCGACGCTGCGTAAATGACAGGGTCCCTGCCATAGATCTTTCAGACATAAATAAATAGGTATTCACTGCAAAATTATTATTTTTGTTTATGATATGGCCCAGAGTTTAAATTAAATTACAAAAGTGGAAGTAAATTTAAAAAAAGATTACTAGGTCTCACAATAGTTAAAATGAGCATATTTCCATAAACAGTTTCCGGCGGAGGCCCCCCGGACCCCCCTTTAGCTGGAGGGTTATCCCCCCCCCCCCCAAACCCTCCTTGGGTGTGTCCCATTTTTTCCAGTTCATGATTTGGTCACCCTATGTTAATGTATCCCATCAGCTTTAGAGCAGGGGTTATCAAACGGAAATTAAAGACCCCATGAGCATGCTTTTAATCAAATGTTATTTATAGTAAATAGTAGTATAAATTATAAGACATATGTGCCTCGGAACACAAACAAAGAGCCTAAATGTAATTTCTTTCATCCTTGGACACAAACGAGCCTAAATGTAATCTTTCATCCCTGGACACAAACAAGGAGCCTAAATGTAATCTCTTTCACCCCTGGACACAAACAAAGAGCCTAAATGTAATCTTTCACCCCTGGACACAAACAAAGAGCCTAAATGTAATCTTTCACCCCTGGACACAAACAAAGAGCCTAAATGTAATCTTTCACCCCTGGACACAAACAAGGAGCCTAAATATCTTTCACCCCTGGACACAAACAAAGAGCCTAAATGTAATCTTTCACCCCGGGGCACAAACAAAAGCCTAAATGTAATTTCTTTCACCCTGGACACAAATAAAGAGCCTAAATGTAATCTTTCACCCCGGGACACAAACAAAGAGCCTAAATGTAATCTTTCACCCCGGGACACAAACAAAGAGCCTAAATGTAATCTTTCACCCCGGGACACAAACAAAGAGCCTAAATGTAATCTTTCACCCCGGGACACAAACAAAGAGCCTAAATGTAATCTTTCACCCCGGGACACAAACAAAGAGCCTAAATGTAATCTTTCACCCCGGGACACAAACAAAGAGCCTAAATGTAATCTTTCACCCCGGGACACAAACAAAGAGCCTAAATGTAATCTTTCACCCCGGGACACAAACAAAGAGCCTAAATGTAATCTTTCACCCCGGGACACAAACAAAGAGCCTAAATGTAATCTTTCACCCCGGGACACAAACAAAGAGCCTAAATGTAATCTTTCACCCCGGGACACAAACAAAGAGCCTAAATGTAATCTTTCACCCCGGGACACAAACAAAGAGCCTAAATGTAATCTTTCACCACGGGACACAAACAAAGAGCCCAAATGTAATCTTTCACCCCAAAACACAAACAAAGAGCCTAAATGTAATCTTTCACCCCGGGACACAAACAAAGAGCCTAAATGTAATCTTTCACCCTGGACACAAAGAGCCTAAATGTAATCTTTCACCCCAAAACACAAACAAAAGCCTAAATGTAATCTCTTTCACCCGGGACACAAACAAAGAGCCTAAATGTAATCTTTCACCCCGGGACACAAACAAAGAGCCTAAATGTAATCTTTCACCCTGGACACAAAGAGCCCAAATGTAATCTTTCACCCTGGACACAAACAAAGAGCCTAAATGTAATCTTTCACCCCAAAACACAAACAAAGAGCCTAAATGTAATCTTTCACCCTGGACACAAACAAAAGCCTAAATGTAATCTTTCACCCTGGAAACAAACAAAAGCCTAAATGTAATCTTTCACCCCGGGACACAAACAAAGAGCCCAAATGTAATCTTTCACCCTGGACACAAACAAAGAGCCTAAATGTAATCTTTCACCCCAAAACACAAACAAAGAGCCTAAATGTAATCTTTCACCCTGGAAACAAACAAAAGCCTAAATGTAATCTCTTTCACCCTTAAAACACAAAGAGCCTAAATGTAATCTTTCACCCTGGACACAAACAAAGAGCCTAAATGTAATCTTTCACCCCGGGACACAAACAAAGAGCCTAAATGTAATCTTTCACCCTGGACACAAACAAAGAGCCTAAATGTAATCTTTCACCCCGGGACACAAACAAAGAGCCTAAATGTAATTTCTTTCACCCTTATCAGCTTCATGTTATTTTCCATTCTTTGATGTTGATTTAAAGCTTACAAATGGAAGGTTTGCAAAACTCATGTATGTTTTTATTCCCCTCAACACCTACAACTTGTACAGCATTAGCATTTTTAAAGAAGAAGATAAACACATGATAAGATTTAAAATTTAACCAGTGATGGCAAGGGGGACAAAATGCTTTCCCTGAACCAATAACACAAAACTGACAACTTCAACCAACTACACAGTCTGCATAACTCATACAACCAATAATCACACACTCTGCATGCATAACTCATACAACCAATTACACACTAAGCATAACTTATAAAACCAAAAGTGAATATTTCAGGAAAAAATTATCTTTATTTATTTTTTACTGTATCATCAACAAATGAACTTTCATAATAGTATTAATAGTGACTTAAAGACAGTGGTAGAAACATATCCAGGCCATCCCTGTGTTGAAAAGGTCAAACTGGTGGCTTGTAACCAATGTTCGCTCTAAGGTTTGCTGGTTCGTGTGCAAAATCATACAGTTGTGTGCAAAGTTTTACGCATCAATTTTTTTGTGTGCAAAATTTTCAGCCCACAAACACACACTGACATGGAAATTTGCGGTACTCAAAACTGCTGCGCAGCTTAAAGGGAACATTGCTTGTAACCATTATTAATCATATGACATGTACTGAACCTAAAATTCCTCAGATAACTTTAGTTATTAAAGACTTAAAGTGACATCCTTTTACCAGTTTGAGTTTACAAAAGTTTTAAAAACTTGAACAGTTAATAATGTATTTTAAAATTTTAGCAGTTTCTGGACACCATTTGTCGACCATTATGGGACGCAATATTCTGATAGACCATCACAACTCAGTGCAAAGTCACTCCTAAGATCAATTGCGTGATGGCTTAAGTACTTGGATGATTACAAACCTATCATTATACAATGAAGATTGTACAAACGCTTATAAGAGTTTATAGAATAGATTTTGTAATTCATAACAGAATTATCAGACAATGTATAAAACATTTTTTGGGGGTTTAACTTTGAACTTGAAAATGAGCATTATATTCCCAGTAAAGATGAGAATTTTAATTTTAAATTGGGGAATTACCATGTAAAGCAAAGGGGAACAACAATGTTTATTACTTTTTTTTTACAAGTAAACTACAATTTGGTACCATGTATTGCTAAAGAAATATATTCCTTGCATTCATTGAATAGTAAGTTGACAGTCAGGATTGTTTTATGGTCCCATAACTGAAGCCACAAGCAATATTTCAAAGAACTTGGAATTAACGGCACTGTTAATGTAAGGGACGTAATCAGACATCACTTAAAGGTATTGATTTGTCAAAATTTACAATATATTTTAATATGTTAACATTTTCATCATACAAAAATGAATAAGAAAAAAAAATGACTAATTAAAGGTAACATTGGACAAACAAGATGTGATCTAAAAAAACAAAAGACACTTCCAGACATTTCTGAATCTCAAAAACCCCTGCCTTATTGCCATTACACGAAATATGTGTGATTTATTTAGTTAACCAAAAACTGAAAAACTCTCCAATCTTGAACAGGCCTTAAGTTTAAAAATATGGTGGGGTTCACTTAAAATTCCTAAACGTTTTGTTGGGCTGGAAATAATTTTTTTTATATGAGTCAATAAAATACTGTTAAATCATTACAAGGAAACTTACATCAAGGGAATAAAATAACCTCCAATTAAACCCATCAACATCAGTGGGCAAGGGTAGGCAAAGTTTAAAAATATTTATTATTAGACAGTAGGCAAAAATTTTGCTTGGGTCGTGGCAACCTGTACTTTTGTCTACCTCTAGTGGTAAGTACTTAATTTTATAGATGGTGTTATTTTCACAAAATAAAAGAGGCATCAAATTATAAGTCAATATCCCAAACTCTGTCTACTAATTGATGAAAAAACATTACAAATCACTTATTAAGCAGTTTAATATTGTGCTAAAAAAACAAAACATTCTTAAAATTGCCATTACAAAATGAAGACCCCTCAGACCAGGTTAGTTTTAAAAATGTTGTAAAGATGCATTAGAACCACAGAACTAGACTAACTTATTTTAATGCAGTTACATTTCATAACATGACATGGACAGCATGATTGATTAACCTAAAACTTGTTTGTTCAAGCCAGCAAAATTGCAGCAACCAATTACTCTCCATTTCAGCAAATGCAAAATAAATATGATTTTTAAATTTGTTTAATATCAGATAAACTTAAGGCTCTGTGGGTTCTGCTGGGGGCTGGTTGCCCTTTTTGCCCTTCTTCTTTTTCGCCTCAATTTCATCAATGGGTGCTGGTTTGACAAAGGGAATCTTCTCATCATAACCTGGAGATAAGAAACACAACAAAAATAGCACAGGAAGTTAAATGAATATTTTTTGTAAATATTACAAAATAGAAACCTTCATTGAATTAAGTGGTAAATATGTATTTCACAATTTCAAATTATTTGTGTTAGAAATATGCAGTGAAAAATAAGTAATTTTTTATAACAGAAACATTTGATTCATTCCATATATCAATTACTAGCAGCCTTTAGATTAATTTAAATTTGACAGTTACAACTTTGTAGCTAGAGTCTACATGTTTTTAAACAAAAAAGTTATTTTAGAAAGAAGCAATTGTGCAGGTTGATCAAATTTTAAGCATATGGCCCAAATCTTGCCTGCCACATGTTTTCACCCAACTAGTGAAAGATTGTAAAATATCAGACCCCTTCACTACAATTTGAGATTTATCATCCATCCATTCAGCACCGATTGGATACACACAACCTCATACTAATCCCTTAATGGCCTATCATGCATACTTCCACTCACTTATAACTCCTAAGATTAGTAAGGTTATATAAAAAGATATAAACTTTGTAGAAACTTTCAAACTGGCATACAGCACATGGCCATCCTCTGAAGCCAGTTTCTTCACCAAAAGAACAGAAATAGTTTGCAACTGCATAAACATTTTTGCAACAGTATTTTTTTGACTGCAATACTAACCAGGGGGCATAAACTTCCTCAAAGCTTCAGGAACAATAATACCATCATCTGTCTGGTTGTTTTCCAAGATGGCACATATCACTCTTGTCGTGGCACACATGGTGGCATTGAGCATGTGAACAAAGCTAGTCTGTGGGTTTAAACGGAGAGGTCTCATTGGATGTTAAAACATAACGAAGAAGAAACCAAACTTTTACTTTTATTAAGTATTCAAAACTGTATGAGAAGGCACAGCATAGATATATAACAAACTGTGATGCAACAGCTAATACCAAATAAAATGGTCAAAAATATAATGCATTGGAAATCATTAATGCCAAGGGAGATTACAACTATGAACCTGGTTAACTTCATCAGTTCTAAACATAAATGATAAAGGGACACAAAAATAAAAAAAAGGGATGAAAATATATGACTTTATATGACCTAATCTGGAAGTCAGGACTATTTCAAAACATTACAATTAAACTCTTTATAGTATTGAAAAAAATAATTAGAAGAGTGTGAAAGTATCAAAAGGATTCAGGAGATTACACTGCTTTCCTAGAACAATTATCATCCTAAAATTCGATTACAATGTACTCACTTCTTGTCCCATCTTCTTTGTCTGGCCAAATCTAATCCTGAGCCGCCTAGACTGGTAGTCAAGACAATTTGAGCATGACACAAGTTCTCTAAAAGCTCCAGATCCAGGGAACCAGGCCTCTAGGTCAAGCTTCTTGGAGGCAGCATTGTTGAGTTCACCTAGAACGGAACAAAATAACCATATTGTAATGGAGCAGATGTAACTATACACTACATGCAATAAGGTAGGATGTTTTAACAAACTTTTGCTTAGTATATACATTTCATTATCTTTTACAACTATAAAAATAATTAACTATAATGTTCTAAAATATGTTACAGAAAAAATGTAAGTGTGTACAGACAAGTGAAAGAGAAGAAAAGTTTAAAAGCCATGACACAATCAAAGCCTTTAGCGGTCAATTAAAATTATTAAAATTCAAGGATATTTTTTAAATTGTTAATCTATAACTGACCAGAATCAACATTAATTCATTTAAGTTTTCTATGGCAAGGAAATAAATCAGAAAGAAAGAAATATACCAGAAACAATGTTCACAACTCTGTATGGTATTCCCAAGGCCTTGGTGAAATTTTCAGCATTGCCGATCATTTCATCAAACATCTCCCATGATTTATTGTCTTCAGGAGAGGTTATGCAGAATTGTTCCACCTAGAAAAAAAAAATATATTTAAAAATCATTACTACAAGGCCAGATCAACCTATTTTTCTGTTTTTTTTTTTAAATTTTAACATAGAAATAAATTCCAATTAAGTGAAAACAACTTTAAACATATATTTTTAATTTTGAAAAAAAAAACTACCGGTACTATCCATCAATGGTTGCTGACCCTATCTTAATTTGTATCATTTTTTTTAAAAATCAACCAAAAAAATGTATTCAATTTACAACACAATTTTGACAAACTCAATGACAAAGTTAATTATTTACACAAAGAAAAGATTACACTATTCCGAGCTTTCAATTAGAGCTCTGCAAAAAGTGTTCAACCAGACAAACAGCATTCAACACTTACTTTCTCAAACTGATGAACACGGAATATGCCTCTTGTATCTCTGCCATGTGAACCTGCCTCTTGTCTGAAACATGTTGAGTAGCCCATGTACCTGATAGGGAGGGATTCTGTGGCAATCCACTCATCACGGTGGTAAGCAGCAATGGGCTGTTCAGAAGTGGCTATCAAATATTTTTCATCTAAATCCCCTTCTTCTTTCTTGTCTGATGCCTTGCCAACAACCTTTGAAAGATCATAAAAATCACAAGGCGATGTAATATTTCCAATTTCTTTAAAGAAGGCTCCTGAATAACTAAGTAACTTATGAATTAGGAATAGTTAAAGGTTTTTTTTTTAAATTTAAATAAAAGCAAAACGAACAGGTATTTAACTAAATGAAGCAAATTAGATTAATTACCTTGAATAGTGTATGACAGAATGAATAGTCACAAGAGTTAACACTGATAATACCAATGTGCCTAAAATCCAGGAGAAACATCACTAGAGGATATCAAATCATTTCGTGTCTAGGAAGTATTATAGCAAGAATAGTGATTCAGATAGGAACCCAGGATACAAATAGCTAATTATGATTATCTAAGGCAGGCTTCCACAACATACGGCCCGCCAGCACCCACTTTGCGGCCCGCGAAGTAACAAAATATTCTTTATTATTAATATTATTTTCTTATTAGCTCTCCCCTTTGTCCTATTATCTTTCGGCCAGCACAAGTATTTCATAAAGTATTACAGCCTGCCTTATAGTTTGAGTTGTGCAGGCCTGATCTAAGGAAATAAGGAATAAAAACAAAATGTTACTGTTACACTCAAATGCCAAGTCCCTTCTGCATGGTTGTGACTCTATACTAATATCGCAGGGCTTTATCAGCAAATGTTTGCACATGATCTTAAATCAAAATGGATTGATTGATAAGGTGCCCCATTGGATCATATGGGACAGATACCCATGTGGAGCAGGAAAGTTAAAATAAATTCGAGATGGATAAGCACACTGTTGATACCAACAAACTATTACTAGGGAGCTTGTCATGGAATATTCGGGACAACAGAAAGGTTAAGACTAAACATAGAAAACTTGGGAAAAGGACTAAAAATAAATAGAAGAAACTAGGAATCAAGGAACTGAGCCTCAAGGAGTAGACAAAATCAAATTATCAATAAATCCAACCCAACACACGTCCCCCCCCGATGGCATTTCTGGGTATACAAGGAAAAGTAATAAGAATGGAGAAGGCATTGACTTTTAAGTTAAGTTATAATAAAAATGTTTATATATATATTTAGATTGTTTCTTTAAAAGAATTGTCTTTATATAAGTCACAAGTTTATTCTCTAGCTTCTGCAGATTTCTTAGTAATCAAATTTAAAATGTCTGTTTACTTTTTTAGTGGGTGCAAGACGTATTTAAACAATTTGTAGGGGGTGCAGAATAAAATACAGATTAAGAAGTGTTCTAGACAGCGGCAAATGTAAAAATGATTGTGAACGGTCTATAATCTTTTGCGAAAGAGGCTTATTTAGTAAAATCTCAACGTCTCTGTTCCAAATAATGTAATACCTTGTACAGCTCTTCATCAAACTGTGACAGCTGGGCCACCTCTTGCATGACCTCCTTACGCATAAAAAATGGAGTATAGAGAGCTGTGTAGCCCTTAGCATGTAACATAGACAAGGCCAAGTTGATCAGAGCTTGCTCCAGGAAGACCAAGGGCCCCTATTGAACATTAATAAACATTTAGACCTGGCATATAAATTTTAAAAGGCAGTTAATAAAAACATTTTATCTTCAATGTGTACAAAAATTAATAGTACCAATGTTATGCCTAATTCAGTAATGGGTCATGAGCCCATAAATTGGCCACAGCTTAACTGTCTATTTCCATTTAGTTTTCATATCACTTACTTTTGGAGCATCAATAAGTGCTACATAACTTGTAACTTTCTAAATTAAATAATCCATAATATTACTCAAAGGCAAACCATGCATACAAATATGAAGAAATTCTTAACACCTTAAGATAATATCCTCTTCCTCCTGCAGTCACAGATCCTCTTTCATTGTCGGCACCATCAATCATTACAACGAGGTCAACATGAGAATATTTTTTCTTAGTCTCAACATCTCCAAATGTCCTCTCAATGCCATTTTCATCCTGTACAATAAATGGAACATGAAATTGTTTACCCACGGAAAGAGAAGCTATCTAAAGTTTTAATTCGGAAAATAAAGATACAAGCCATGATTATGAATCAAACTGCTTTTCCTTTTTGTATCCACTAAATTTATGATACCTTTCATCTTGGTAATAAGTGAATTAATTATCTCTGATATTTAAGTCTTAAAACACAAGAGAAAAGAATTACCTCATTATTGCTAATAATACAAGAATCATGCAGCAGATTTCCTATTTCTTTCAGGGCCTCATTTCTTTCCTTTTCTTCAACAATAAGTTGAGCATCGTTTTCTTTAATCTGATTATCAATGGCAAGACGCACTTTCTTGATTTGAGTAACTGTCAGCGGCTGGAGAAAAAAGATTTATTTTATAATAAAGATCGAATTTTTAAAAAAGTTAAGATGCACTATCCTTCAGCAAGTATGTCAGTTTCACAATTATCATACCTGAAAGGACCAAAATTAGTATTACATTTATTCCTGTAAAACTATTTTGGTAGATGATTTGATTGTTCTTAGAGTTGAATTTAAAAGATCAAAACAAACCTGTAGCTGTTCTGGAAGTACTTCATCAAGTTTCTCAATGATGCCTGTTGGAACAGAATCATCATCCCCAACGGGTTCTTTATTCTAATCATAAAAAAAATCATACAAATAAATATAGTCATATTTAACATAATATCTTTCTTTTTTAATCTAGGTCTGATGTTTTTAAAAAATTAAGAACAACTTATTAAATCAGAGATCACCCCAAAAAGCCCCCAACAAGTTACAAAGATGAAATTACCTTCATTTTATCACCTATTTCTTTGCTGCAAACATTTTTTAACTTGTTTAGCAGATCAGCCCTGAAACGCACTAAGATAAATACAAAAGAAATTCTATGAACAGGCGAATAATAAGGAGGAAAAAATTTAATCAAAATACTTGCTATTGATACCATTAGGCCCACTTCAAATAGAAGTAATTCTTATGGTGCCGATTTCAACTGTCGTTTACTGCAGATTAATATGGTCTTTTAAATAATCAGTTATATCCCACTTGTGTAATATATTTTCAACTAAAAGGTTGAAACTCATGAAGTGTTTAAATTACTTGTTTTAATATTAATAATCATACCTTTTAAAATATTTCAATTGATGGTCAACATTTAAACAATTATAGGAATTTTCATTACTGACAAATCAAAAGAATACATTAGAATGTCTAGGTTTTCTCTATGAACTTTTTAGGGGTAATTCAAAACACTGAGTCAACAAGAGCACGTTAAAAAAATTTTTTTTTTTTTGTTACCATTTCAATAAATAAGTGCATACATAATTCTTATGTACTAGAATATATGACCCGATGTCATTGGGATAAAAATGGTAGGTCCTTGGTGATAATTTCTACCTGTTATTGCAAAACTCATCACAATTCCTAACTTTAAAAAGAAGTATCTATGTAATGATTTTTACGTTTCTAACATTAAATTTTGAGAAGTATTTATCTGCTATATATTATACGCCTACCCTACTCCATTTCATGCCCTTAGACTACTTTTTATTCCCTCTAAACATGACCTTAAATTACCCAATCTAAATTATCACCAATTATATCAATTTTTTTTTTTACTAAAGAAGTTATTTGAGGGACGATTTGTATACTAGAGAAATACTTTAGATTTATCCCTTTTCATGTCCTTGAACTACAACTTTTTTTTCTCTAAAAATTGTGAAAACATAATCTTAAATTTAAAACAAAAACTCTATTCATAATATAAATATATTTTATATTAAAGGAATTTGATATATTGATATCTTCATCAAAAATTTAAACAAACTTTTGCCTTTTTAATTATACTTTATCAGAAAATCGTAAAACAAAAAATTCTTTATCTAAAGAAGAATCTCTCAAACATTTTTCACGTCAATAACAGACTTGGATTTGGATGAGTTACAAGTGCAATGGTGAATGCTATTTGGCTATGGAGTTTCGCTGCACTGTTTGACTTAAACTGCATTTTCTTAGAAGTATATTTTTGGAATTTAAAAAATTAAAAATCTTTTTAAATGTTAAAAATACAAAACTAATATTTGTGTGTGTTTTATTAACCATTAAAAAATCAATCTATTATATTTATTAATTTTACTTTTAAAAAGAGGACAATACATTATCAGTTTTGTAACAGGCAGTTATTAAATCAAAGAAACTTAAGAGTTTTGGCTAACATAGGCCATTCGCTATGATGTCATTTGTGTGTTTATTTAGAACAAATTAATTTTAATTTTATTTATATCAAAAACGCACTAAAAATGCACTCAAAACAACTCATGTATGGGTTTTCTCAATAAAGTTGATTTCGATGTAATTCTTAGATCATAAATTTTTTATTAAATTTTTGTTTCATATTTTTTAAATTCAGATAAAATGCTTAATATAGTTCCTTAGTTGTTACTTTAAATGTATTTGTTATTTATAATAATAATAATTACTCTTTTACTAAAATAAAAGTGTATTTAAATTTATCAAACCTATATATATTCTTCCAGAGTTAAAAAGTTTACATTTTAATCATGGGCTTTACAAAATCTACACTAGCTCTCATTTATTAGTTTAACCTGTCCCAGATAGCTAGATAATGGAAATTGTTGGAAACACAGCCTATGTAAAAATTTGTTGAAATGAAATTTGCTCTTAAGTGTTTTATTTATTTTATTTTTTAAACTATTTTTTTTTAAATGGAAGAAACAGTGAGAAATGGGGGCAAAAGTAAACATTTTAATAAAATGTATATTTGATGGTTTTTTCCCCATTATTTCTTTTTCTTAAAAACTTCCATGCCAACAAACTTCAGTTTTAACAAATTTCCAGGAACCATTTATAGTTAAGGCCATAATGCTCACAACCTGAATAAGTCATTGTCAGTAGTAATTTGTAACCAGCTCCTACACCTGATGGTTAGGACTATGAGATATATAAATATGACTTGGTAAATACCAATATTCATTTTTTTCTTAAAGCCATTATCGAATTCGGAAATCTGATTTGGACACCGTTTATAGGTTTTATTGGTTATCATAGTAGGTACAGCAATACTTGTTAAGTGGTCTGTCTCAAACTGATGCAGGCGTTAATTTCACAGAAATATGCTTTCATAATTTTTCAGGAAAAAGCTTAGTGACCTTTCTTAAAACAGATTAACATTCGCCTTTTATCTGGTAAAGAAAATGATGGACACATATTAAAATTTGGTACTTTAATTACATGATATCACGCTATATTGGAAGATATACCCCCCCCCACAACTACTTCCATCCTTACACAATTTAGACACCCTATTAATACATCATTATGAATTGGTGACCCCCTCCTCCAACCTACATGTGTGGTGTCATTTATGGATGACCCGTTAACTGTTGCCCATCAAATCACTTAATCCAGTTAAGATTTTCACTTGTCTGAAAATATGATAAATTGAAATTATTAACGGTATGGTTAACTAAACTAACTTTTACATAGGACTTTATTTAGTCTAGTAGTATTATTACTATTAAGTATTTTAATTTACATTTAGTTTAGCTATAGTAAAAAATATTTTTTGAAAGGCTTCATTTGATGAAAATGAACGCATGTTATTACATGTTGAATCATTTAAATATCTAGGCCAGGGTCACCAAACTTTTTTCACAGCGGGCCGGAAATGGAAAAAATGATGAGCGCTGGCCGGATAATCATTCTGTACAATACTTGCAAGCCAGAACAAAAGCTCTGGGAAAAGAGCAGAAAAACTAAGTTAAGTATTCCATGTTATTCATGGGTGAGTGGCGTGCAATGCAAAAAAGTAAAGACGACCAAAATATTTATTTACTTTAAAATGTTTGCAAAGAAGCCGACATTAGCAAAATGATAGTTACACCAGACGTATTCGAATCTCACAATCTAAGCAGCAAAAAGGGTTAGTGAGATTTATGAAACCGACTTTTGGCTTTCAAGATAATATCATTGTTTGGTTTGATCATCAAATCCCTCTCGTTCGATGTGTTGACTTCACATAGTTTATTTTTGAAAATGTTTGCTCACATATATAAATTGTTACATGCATGTAGCAAACGGATGTCAACACTTCAGTTATCTAAAAGTCCTAACTGTCACCACAATAAACACAATTTAGGCTCATACCAGAAAGAAGCCAGTATAGGAGCTGCTCATTCCTGCCCAAGACAATCAGGGACTGGAACAAGCTTTCAAAAGGAACAGTTGAGGCGACAACACTAGACTCATTTGTGTCTATTGCCTCAAGCCTTCAAACCTCCAGTGCATGATTCCCTCACATAGTGGCACTGGAAATCATTGAAATGTCCTCAACACCAGGCACAGAAACATTGCAAATCCCCTCTACATGCATAAGAGCCAGAATGATCAATAAATTGATTGTGGGCCCTTAATATATAGAACAAGAAGAAGTTGTGAGAGATCAGTAGACTCATCCAGTGCCAAAGAATACCACAGCAAGTTCCTATCTTTCTCACGAATCTGTAGCACTATGTTCTCTACAAGTTCTTCTTTTCTCCACACAACTGAACTTAGTTCCAACCACGGCTACTATGATTTTTAATGTCCCCGTATGTTTCCAATTCTCCACTTTCTTTCACCCATTTACAGTTTGTGGTAGTTATCATGACTATAATATATTAGCGGGAATTTAATGGAAATTATTCTTATTTTATAATTTTTTTACACCAGCTTTTCCTAAAAACAACTTCGAGTTACTTGGTAGGTTTTTTTAAAATGATGTCATCATTTGTTAATTCTAATTTAAAGACATCTTGTTTTATGCTGATCTAACTTCGAGTTTGAACCACTTTAAATTTCACCAGTAACTTTATTTTTACCAGTGATAGACTTTGATAATGTGATCTGTACGTCCGCTCAATATAAATTAATATCTATAGCAAGTAAACATCTGCAAAACAAAGTGACCACAGATTGTATTATAAACGTCGGTCATCTACTTAAAACTTAAGTAGTTAACTTTTTTTTTTACGCCGGCTTCACTCGACCCCACTAAGCACTGCGATGCGAGTAGTTAGTGTATTCATTTTTACATACTGTATGTTTATTTATTGACTACCGTATTTTATGATTTTGAGACCAAATTGTGTGATTTTAGGAGTTAAATGGTAAATAAATAGGTCTGTAATAAACAAGAAAATCTAGATACAATAATTTAAAATTGAAAAGGGTAAGTTAAGTTCTTAAGGCGCATAGCAGCCAGGTCACCGCACGTATGAAGACCTCCTGGTAAATTTTGAGTTAACTTTATGGGAGGATAACATCAAAGAGTGGACAGGACTAAAACTGGGCGACGCAGTGCATAGTGCTGAAGACAGAGAGGAATGGAGGAGGATGGTTCACATGTCATCTGTTGCGCCCCCAACTGTGCAAGGACTAAGGGACATGAGGGTGAGGTTTTGCAAAGAGTTTTCTCACCCTAAGCGCAGTGACGTCACATTGGGGAATCCCAACACTGGACTTAGGGTGAATAGACCTATTCTTTGAAGGACCCGAACGATGTGCGTTATAACATTCATGTTCTTTATGGAGCATTACTCACGTCCTAAACAATATAGTTAATATGAAGTATATTAATATGAAATTTTCCATTAATTTGTATTAAAATTCAACTTACACGTTTCAAAAGAAAGGAAAAAAGAAACACATCCTTGCTGATACCCCAAGACCCAACGCCAACACCGGTGAAAAAAATGACGCCCGCCAAAATTGCTGTATTTTTTTATTAGTTGAAATCAAAATACCTGTATTTAGGTAACAAAAGGAAGACTACTGCTTAAATTGCATTTGTAATGATCTTCTAGGAAACCCCTCCCCTCACTTTCCCTCACTTTAAATACCAAAATTATATCAAAGTAAGAAACATAGAAATTCTTTCAATACAAACATCAAAATCTTTTTAGTATAGTAGACGATGCTGTAGACGGAAATGGACCGCAGGGAACCTCCGAAACCTATATACAGTGAAACATCATCTGCCTTACCGCTAACTGAAAACCAGCCAGATCTCCTAGTATTGTAAGCATAATTAATAATATTGAAATTTAAATTGTATCCCAACTTTAACTAATCTCGTGTTCCATGGCATATATATATGATATATGCCATATGTTTTATCAAGCCATCAAGCAATTCAAGTACCGCTCGCGTGCCGGATCAGGCCCGCGGGCCGTAGTTTGGTGACCCCTGATCTAGGCCCACGACTACTATGGCATACAAAATTACGTTTTTACTTACATTTTCTCCAGTTTGTATCATGTTCAACTACTTTATCGACCAATGTTACATCCTTGAATCGTTTAGCTTGATTCTCCTTAATCTTTGCTGGGTTTCCACCTTTGTCAGCACGGAAGAGTTCTAGATCCAGCACCATTGTTGTGTTTTAAACCAGTTGTAAACACAAAACAAGTAGAATTTAAGCCGCACGTAGCCTTGACTTCTCCTATCAAGCTTTCAAAGGAGCTACGTTAACAGCCTTTATATTATCTGCAAGTAGCCACACAAAAACGTGGAAGCACGCATGTCTTTACATTACTTCCTTGTTGAGAATGTATTGTTGAGAAAAATGAACGCTAAATAGTTGTGAAAATATTATTTAAAATATTAACAAACTGCTTTTAAACATAATAAAATTTGTTATTATACTTAATATAAAATATTATCTTATGAAATATAATATTAGAAATGATATAAAAATATTTAAATATTGCATTAAGGAGGTACTCAATCAATTGATTCTATGTTGCATCATTACAAATCTTCCCGTTATATTCTATTTAAATAAAAATACATTGTAAGATTTATTTTTAAAGAAAAAGGGGGAAATGTTAACATAATCTAAAATTATAGACACCGGTTTCCTTGAAACCGTATTTACTGAGAATATGTACTTATAAACATGACTAATTATAAAGTATTCTGCGAAGTTTCATAGTTATCACACAAAATACTAAATGAAATTATTGAGACTAAAATAGTGAGAGTGCTCTCTCTTGGTAGTGCACTTTGTTGAACAGAAACAATTTCGTGACTGATTATACTCAGTTCTGTAGCTCTCAGTTTCTAACTCTGTCGTTCTGTGTGACTTAACATGTGTGCCTGAATATTTGTCATCAAGTCCACGGTCTTAAATATATATAGAGTGAAAATGTATCGTGCTCTATATGCTTACAAAAGCAAATTACCCAAATATCTGTCATTTGAAGCTGGGGACAAGTTTACTTTGGTGGATACATCTGTGTCCGACCAATGGTTTCTTGCCCAAAATGGACTTGGAGATATTGGTTTTGTTCCCTTTAATTACATAAAAAAGATAGAGGTGAGAAAAGGTTAAGAATTGCCCATGTCCATGCTCTTCGTTACGGTTTACCCTTCGTTTCAAATGAAAAGTAATTTTTAAGTAAATTAAATATAATAAGTTATAAGTAGTGGCAGTGGACTCAAAGGCAAACACTTTCAATTGGGACATAATATATCATTCTCAAGTCTCAATGTTAATATTAATGCCCATTACTCAACTCATGTAATTACTTGCCATTATCATTCATTAGTTTAATTTGTATTAGCTTTCTTAGACTTTCTACTATCCCTTTCACTCACTTGTATTATAATATGACACACTTTATGTATTAAATGTCATAAGCAGCTACAGCTAAGCATAGACTACATTTTATTTTTGGAAAGTTACCAGCAAAGACTTAATCATTAAATGGGTCCTTAAATTCATAAAGTAAAGCTAAAAATAGTAAAAAGTGATTCCCACTTAAACTCCAGAGAGCAGGAAAGAGAAATTAATATTTTCTTTGAATTACTGATATATAAGTTGCAACTTATTTTATTGTTTCTAGAATATTAATATAAATTTCTAGCCTTTAGACTTACCATAATTTAATGTCCATTTATCTATGGCTACTGCCAGAGCAGTGGCACAGCTAGATTTAGTGCTACCAAGGCCAGGCCAAGTGTGCGCCCTCCCCCCACCCCGCCCCAACCCTTTCCATGAAAAAACTTTGACATTGGCCAAAAATGCTGACCCAAAATATAACGAAAAAAGTTAAAAGCCCCCACTACAAACCCTTTCCTGCGTCACTGTGCAAGCATGTAGTTAAATAATAATGATATTCTTTAGCCCTGTTTTGTATTATTACCAGTATTCCCTGTAGTTTTATGCCCCAACTGTATTTAATTAAAGCAAGATGTTCAATACTTAGTTGATGTTAATGAATTCATGCATTTTTTCAATGAAAATTGTCCTTTCTTGAGTCATGAAAAATAAAAACCTTTATGTTAAATGGTCTTATTGGTGTGCAGTGCTGTTCAGATCATATCCAATTAAAAAAAGCATAATTTAATAATTTTCTTATATGATTATTGAGTGGTTCGGCTCATATTCTTAAAACATATTAATTTAAAACGTTTTGATAGTTAGCCATCTGAAAAAAATGTCTTATAACAATAGTTTTAAACTGTGTTTTCTGACAATAATAAATAAGCAATGCCAATGAAAGATGATTATTATTTTGTTCTGTAGGCTACAGCAGACCAGCAAGTCAAATTCATTGATGGTGCAATGGAAGCCATTCATTTACAAGCTACTAATGAAGCTGGACAATATACACATGAGCAGAGGCTTATTATGAAGTTCGTAATGTGTACACCTTAAACATAAAAGCTTAAAGTTTTTAGTTTAATGTCTCTGCAAGTTGAATTATTTTATATTTTAAAATGAGTTTGCATAATAATTGAAAGAAAATTTAACAATCTTTCAGATAGCTAAATATATCATAAAGTAACATTACTTATTTAGCTTTTTGCTTATTATTTTCATGTTCAATTTTATTCCCTTGGTATCTGGATCTCATTATAAAGGAGATTAGTAAAACATCGAGGTGAAGTCATCAAAAATGCATCATCTGCCGTCAAGAAGTCTTCCAGTCGTAGACGACCAGCTCCAGCACCACCTGTTGACAAAAGTTTCAGTGTGGATGGAGCGATGCCTGGGACGACAGAAAATCTTGCAGTAGTTGGGCGAAGTGTCGGTTCCTCAAAACCAAGTTCAAGCAATGTTAAAAATGCATCTTCAGATCTCAGTGACAACAAATCTAGTAAGCCAAGAAAAAAATCAGATTGCTCTAAAACTAAGAAATTGGATACAAACCGCAGCTCTGCTCATTCTGAAATTTGCAGTGACGAGGTTGCTCACAAGGACAATGTTAAGAAAAGCAAGAGCGTCACCAGCAGTTTGGGTCAGGCTCCTTCTCTTGTTTCATCATTTTCCAGCAATGCTAGCGATGTAACCACCACAGATTCTGTCACGGATGCTTCCAGAATTTCTGATGAGAGTGGATCAGCTGAACAAGACGATGGCATCAGTATAAAAGTCTGTGAAAGAAAAGGACGTCCCCCAGATGTGGTTGAAAACTGTGAGGGTAAATACCTTACTGATTCAGAGGATGAGCACCAACATATCGGCTGTAACTTTGAGATGGAAGAGAAAAGGTCCAGTTCTCATTTGTCTTATTATAGATCAGATTGTGATGATGATAGTTACCCTGGTGCAATGCCTCCGCCTCCTGTGAACTTCAGCTTAGAGGAAAGCTATGAGAGTAACGCATCTGCTTCTGGTGTTAATGATCTGGATCTACCACTAGAAGATTTGCCCCCACCTCCCCCTGAAGACTATGGAGACTTTAGTATTGATCACTTTATAGAAGCAGATGGATTACCTCCAGCTCCAGTTGACCTGACCCCAACAGAGGAAGTCCTTAAAGTGGATGACATGTATGTCAGTCTGAACTCTGACATTCTGGAACTTTGCGGGCGACGACCCCTTGAAGACTGCTGTTGTGATGATTTTCAGCCTAAGTTTGACCCAAAGGGAAAATTCTTTGCTCAGTAAGTTTCCAATACAGCAGAATAATATTTGTATTAACATTTTCCTCCAATATTTGTTTAGAGTACTGTTTTTGTTTGGTTTTTTTTTTGTTTAAAACTGTTGAAGTTTTTAATTTTAAGTTGGATGGAATTTGAACAATTATGGGCTTTTATTGATTTCTAAATGGTATTTTGAAGTTTTTCTAAATAATTTTTGTCCTAGTTTAATGAAATGTAATCCCAAAATTAATATGAAAGTAATTATTTCAAAAAATTATTTTTCTCAGCTTTTTTTTTTTTCATTAAAAACATGTTAATCTGATAGACATCATTTCCCAGCAATGCTTTAGCCTTACCACCACATCGAAATGTCAAGGTAAAGAAGAAGGAAAGACATGAGTCAAAACTTGCCTCTAGGGTGTTTGCCTCAGTACTGAAGCAGCAAACTGCCGCCAGCAACCAAGAATCACTCCAGAAACAACAAGAAGTCCTGGAGATGGCACAAGCTCACTGTGTGCAGGTCACTCATGCAGACTGTGAGGAAATGATTGGAGAAGTAAGTCGTGTTAGGAAGTAAAAGATCTGTAGAATTATAAATGGATTATTTTTGCAATCATCCACCCCTGTGGCGCCACGGCCCGTTTAGGGCTTTGGCCTACCTCATCACTTCCTTCCACTCAGACCTAACTGAAGCTTTTATTTTCCATACTTGGATTCTCAGCTGCTGTATATTTTTTTCCCACATCATCTTTATCCAAAAAGGCTAGGTCTGCATTTTATCGGTTTTCCTTTGGGGTTTTGGTGGTGCACCTTCTTCACACCTCTGTCATTTGGCATTCTGTCTAACGGGGTCCCCACAAAGTCGGGAAAGCGGGATATAGTTGGGATTTCCTTCAATTATTTTCCCGGTCGTGAAAACCGGGAAATTGAGCATTCTAGTGAGGAATTTTTCAGGATAGTCGGGAATTTTTAATTCACAATTTAAAAAAAAAATAATAATAACTTGAATCGCTTCAATTATGCCCCCATTATCATTTATTGACTGCATTTTACTGTAGTATTAGTTTCGACTTTTCTGCGCATGCGTTGAAATCGTTCTTCCGATGTCGACCTCATTTAAATTGTGAGAGAAAACGACTTTGCGCCACTTGATTCTCATTCATTTGATCTCTTTGGTACTCTGCGCTCTGCTGTCACTAATCAATAACTTTCAAACTTTGAATTTTCGGAAAAACTCGAACAGTTTTGTGGTGAGTATTCATTTATTTCAATTATTTATGTAGTTTTTATCGACAGATCTGGTTTTTAATTTAAGAGTCATAGTACTAGTAGTATTACAGTATTTGAATTGTAATAGTATTAATTAGGCTTGGCTTAGGTATTATTAAGAAACATGTAGTTTTTATTGGCAGATCTGGTTTTTAATTAATTTAATCTAGTATATAACTTACTACAGTATTCCAGAAGTCCAGTACTATTGGTATTAGGGCTTAATATTAAATTGGATTAGGTATTATTTAGTCTGTAATTACTGTAGTTGTAATTTTGATCGGCGGTTTTGGTTTTTAATTAATTTAATCTAGTATATAACTTACTACAGTATTTCAGAAGTTCAGTACTATTGGTATTAGGGCTTAATATTAAATTGGATTAGGTATTATTTAGTCTGTAATTACT